GGAATAGTCAAAGCACTGATTACAGTCGATTCGATCTGATATGCTTTTAGATGATTTAATTACCTAACAGATAATTAACAAATCAGTTCCATTCCTTGATAAATGTTAAATTAGTTACATTTCTTAATGAATTTCTTTTCTGATAAATAAAATTTCTTCCCTTTTCGATTTCTGCATGTTGTCATACAACTACCTCAAATTATATTATAACAAGTTCTCTTATTTTAAGAATTTCTGCTTTTAATCAAAGATGACTTGCTTTACCAATGCTGAAATTAACTGTTTGTAAATTTGTCAAGGAGGAAAATAAATATAATATTTAAGAGTAAAAAAAATCTTATAGGAAGGGGCCGTAAATTCCATGGAGAGAATTAATCGAAAATTCTTCAATAATAATAAATACATTCTCACAATAGGCCATGAAATAACTTCAGATGAGGACAGTGCAAATTAATTTTATCCTGGAATCTCATACTTTTTGCAAAATTTCATTTACTCTAAAGGCCATTAAGATGTCGGAAATAAAAGACATTAAGATAAGATAAATGTTGACATAAAAAGATTGCTCTTATCAGTTATCTTAACTGCAGGAGTGACAATACGTGATTAAGCAAGCTAAATATTTAGTTACGAAGCTGAAAGCATCAAAGATAAGTGAAGAGACACAATTATATAATGAAATGTTTCAATAAATCTAATATTCAAAAAAATTTCTAAATATGTCAGATATTTTGATTAAGTTTCAGCAAAGTGCATTTTTGGCTTAATAATAATTTTAATGACGTTGCAGAGCATAATTATCATTATTTTCAAAGCTTGTCATTATGTCTAACTAATTAAATATTTTACTCGCTCTTATAATTAATATTATTGAATAGTTAAATTTATTATTCGATTATCTAATCTTTTGAAAAGTGAACTTATGATTGATAATACGAAAAAAGTTACCTATAATTATCATAGTAAAATAATAAGCAGATGGTGACCCTGTGAAATATGAAGACAGTATAAAAATTTGCCTATCGAACAACTTTAATTAGACTTACAGATATATGACAAGTGAGTTGTGCTGGAAAAATTATAATTTACAACTCAAATATAGGAATAAAAAGACTGAAAATTATAAACTCTTTTTAACTCATAATCACTAAATTATTGGAAAATACGAGTACATCGTAAAAATATATGGACAATCATTAACGACCCTAAATCTAGAGTCTTCTCTATGATATTCATTATATATTTTTTTTATCTCGAGACAGAGTTATTACTCAGTGTTACCATGCGAGTATTTGTAATAACATTTTCAAGCGACAAAAAGGAAAAAAAAAAAAAAAAAAAAAAACTTAAATACGATGACCTCACATAAATAAGCAGCATGCAATTAATTAGCATGAATACATGTTTTCAATATAGTCGACTTTTTTTCAAAACAATTGCTCGTTATTGTGATGCTCTCTTTACGATAACCGCTACAAAATATCCCACACTTACGAGAATACATTAAATCTATTTTCGTTCCCGGACTTGTGATTAAAACTTTCTTTTCATGAACGGCCATTATAATGATCATCAGCTGTACTTATCTAGCAAATCTATCCTTTCAAAATCTAAAAAAAAAAAAAAAAAAAAAATCCTGCCGTTGCGTGAATTCGAGATTTTCTTTCCATTGAATGGTGTTTAATGCACCTTGCAGTTGTATACGCATATAAAGTTTTCTAATATTAATATGCTCCTATAGTAAGCTTTAATTTCAGAAAAAGACACCTCGACAAATGTTGAAATAATTTCACTATGAAAACAAATGCAGCAATTATGAAAGTAATTCACGATTTTACTGTATTTCTCAAATTTAATGTGCGGGTTTCTTCACATTTATACGTTACTAGAAACTGGGATGCGACAAGAATCGAGGGATCTTCGAATCACGCATGTTCCCCAATTAATAATTATACAGAAGTAAAGAAATTTTCCAAAATTTAGATTTACACAGAAGTATACCGGTGTTATATTGGATGATCTAACAAAGTAGTTTATAAGCGTGTTTTAAAGCTGGATATCGCTCATTTTATTTTTTTATACTTAAAATATCTATCCTCTTCTAATGGGATAGAATGAACTTCAGAAAGGTGATTTATGATTTTAAAAAATAAAAAAAATGCAATTTGTATTTGCAAAAAGTCTGAAAATCTAAAATTTTCTGAATTTTGCGCGACAGCATTATTTGTTTAAATATTAACTAAAATTTCTTTTTTTGTGAAGTGTGTGTGTAAGAATTTTTTATTTATGATAAGATATTGTGTAATGATATTAAGATATATATCATTACTTCTTCGTATTATTCTAATTTTTAACGCATCATTTATGAAAACAGCTATGTATAAAATTTTGTACTTGAAATATATTGCTTAAAATTATTTTCATCCGCTTTTAATATGGTAAAAAAACACTAATGTAAAATTTACAATCAGACTATATTCAACCTTAGACTGTCATTCGTTTTTATCACATTTCATGGGCGATTGTAACATGCACCGATTTTCGAAAAAATAATCCAACCGTTATGTTATTAGAAGCACACATAAACATTTATTCAAATTTGATAATGTAATGTACTATCTTCACGAGAGTGTTTTAGATTTAATTTAACTTTTATCATACACAAATCTCTGTGGAGGATCGGAATAATTTGTTGACTCTATCCGAAAATTCTTGTTTCCAAATACGGAAATGCTTACTCCAAATACAGAAAAGCTTATCTGTGAAAAGGTTTCCAAAGGAAACTAGTTTCTGCTCATATTGGATACAGGTAAAAAAAAAAAAAAAAAAAAAAGCCCTATACAGTCAGCCGGAATTGTAAGAATTATTAGCATTTAGTGGTTTTATAAGCGCTGACTAATGGGTGACAGTACTGAATTGAAAAATACGTATAATTCTAAAGTTAAGATTGGCACTATAATTCAAATTGTTGTAATTAAAGGGGTTAATATCGGCTTCTGGTTGCAAAATGTTAATTTAGTTAATCATATGGATTATAAATTAAGAATGCAGATGACATACAATTTGCTCAAAAGAAAAATAGTAATAAACATTTAAAAAATGAAAGAAGGAAAAAAATAAATGCATAAGACTAACAAAAGGGTTATCGATAAGTAATTATAATTTTTCTTTTTTTCCAAGTATTTTAGCTCTGTTCACAGGAAAACATTTTAGGTTTCGCACTTTTAACGATTTAACATTATAAAACTTTTTCCACAAAAAATGAAAGTTCATTTAGAATGTGTAATAGTAGGATCTGTGAAAGTACAAATGATCATTTAGAATTTCTATTATTAAATTAGAACCATCCCTGTCGTGTAAAATTGATGAGATGCTGCTCTTATTGGAGATACAGCACTATCTAACTAATACAAAATTAAATTCAAAGCTTTGCAGCATTTATAATTTTAAGATATCTCAAGGTTATGATTGTATGCTATTAGTTTGCTTAAAATAAGTTACCTGTGTTAACGTAAGTTTAAATTAGACTTAAAATAAATTTCTTAGCTTAATTAAATTATGCCTATCATCTTCCAGAGAAAAATCTCAGCAAGCGAGGGGTACTAAAATTGGTTAAGTTAGATTTTTTTATGATCTTACAAGAGCTATTTGACCTTAAAAAGAAGGAATGCTTCCTTGGAGGAATGGAAACGGGATCGTATTTATGTTACACTTAAAAAAAACCCACAAAAGCCAAACATGTAACTATCCCATTTGCCTAGGATCGGACCCGAATCCCAGTATTTACATGTTTTATTAGCTCAGCCACTGCCCGTCCTCAAAGATTGAACATAAATAATTGCACTAATAATTTTTATTTACTTACTTATTTTGGGCATTCAGGCTTACATTATGGAAGTACATAATTTTATATACTATAAATATAACGTAAATGTAATCAGTACGGCATATTTTATTTGATTCCGGAGACAAGTACCCGATTTGCCATCTCTCAAGACGCTTATATTTATGTCACGTTCCCATTTCTTTAAGTCTAAATACTTTAATAAAGTTGAACAATTTCAGTTCATTAAAAAAAAATTCAGTTTATAACCTTATTCTCAGAGAAATAATAATACTCATTATGTAAAAAATGGTTTAAATCTTTTTCTAAAATAAAGAAAAGTTTTTAAGACTTATTTTCATGCATTTCGTGAATTCTAGGCTTAGATGAAAAGCGTTATTAAGTAGCAATTTTTATTTAACGTCTGAACTGAAGGTATTGATCGAGTGGTTAAAGTCTACTTAATACTGGTACTTCATCACTGGTTCGAACCCAGGCTGCCGGATTGGCTGCATGGTTGGTTTATGTGGTTTTCCCATGTGCAACATGATTACGAGCAGGTTTCCCCATGAATTCCTCTACGAAGACAACTTTCCCATTATGCAGATGGCCCTTTTGTGTTTTGCCATATGCAGATAACTAGAACCTTAATAAACCATTAATCACATTGTTCAAGAGCTTTTCTCTATTCTAGCAAGTCTCTATTCTGAATACATTTTCATAAGTTTAAATGTCGGATAGGTAAAGACATTTTTCTTCCCTTTTTCTGTAGCTAACTAGAATTTTGCTATACTCGTTTTCATTAGCATATAGTTTATGATTTTTATTTTGTTCACATTTTTTGTAATAGATTTATATCTTTCGGTTTCTTTACTTTAAAAGATTGACTAAAAAGTTTTATTTAAAAATAGGTGTAATATCTTTAACAGTAAAAAATATTCTTTTAAGTAGCCTTTCCACGAAAAAGATTATTCAGAGACTGATAATTTTGTAAACATTCCTAGTTTGACAGCCGTCCTTCAATGCGGAAATAAGAAACACATTTCTTCCTGCCACTAATGAGAAGAGCATCTGTAAACATGTTATCGATTTTATAACAAAGTATTTTGTTTACAGATGTGGTGTTTCACTGTGAATCATACTAACGGCATCATAGTTCCGTCCTCTACTTGAGTAAGGGTTTGCCGTTTGTAAATATATTTTCAAATGAAAAATAAGTGTTTAATTTTCTCCTTTATCTGCAACGGCCAAGGGCCACCCACTTAACTATAAATACCAGTACGGAAATTTTTCATTTAGCAATTCAGAGTCTTCAAGTGAAAGCGACCTAGCTGAAATTTTAGCAATATGACTGTTGGTCATCCTGGTAAGAATTTTATTTTATTTTATTTGTAACATGAACGTCGGAAAATCGAGTATTATCTTAGACAATTTTCAGTTGTTTTATTGAAGGATTCTGAGTAGAAATAGTTAATCCGAATTCCGTAACCAAAATTTAAAGCATTATTTAACGCATTATATAAGAATTTTCGTAATTTCCCTGATTCGTATATCAGTATCTTATTTGAGTCCTTTTTTAATTGCTTATATTCTAAAGATAGATGCGATATAATTTATGCATATTCTTCCCGCAGTTATTTTAAAATTTATTCTAACTGAATTTGGATTTTCGAGTTTTGCGCTTCACAATTAAATAGATAATGATTTTATAAACATTTACGTTTCATAATGCAGTCATTTCTCTCTAATATTTATAGCTTTTACGAAGCTTAGAGCTATTCAATTTTTATAGAGAATCTTATAAACTGAATCTAAGCAGCACATCAGTTAATTCTCTTCTTAGTCTTTTAATGGTGTTATTGGAACCAATTCATTTCCAGTGTCTATATCCCAGGTTACATATTAATAACATAAGGAGGTTTCGTGATGCCATGAAAACAATAAATATTGTACATTTTAACAAACTCAGGATTAAAGACTAGTTAAGCTGTAAAGATAAGCTTTTATATTTACTTTTTAACGGTACTGCTGCTTATGTAGTTCGTGGTATTCTTGATACTGTTAATTTCATATTTCAGCCCCCTTCCTAAATTAATCTTGAAATCGTAAATGCACTTTAAATAAATAGTAATTTATCCAAGTTAAATCCTACTATTGTAGCTGCAAGCAGAAGCAATGTGTATTGATATAATTTACAAGCAAAGTATGGATATTTAACGTCTCTATAGCTGTTGTTCAAAAATCTAAGTTAAACTGATTAAGAGCAATTTGATTTTATAATGTTCATAAGATGCTTTGCTAATGTAACAGAATACTCAGTATGCTAAAACAAAATTTCCCTTCTTCCTGTTGAAATGATTCCTAATCAAGGAAAGACGCATTTTTTTAACCAATAAGGAAGTTTTGTTTCCATTAGTAAATAGTAATGAAGTCTGCAGTCTAAATATTTACAGTTTTCACTCTCTAAGTTTTTAAAGCTAAAATATTTTAACTCAAATATCCTCTGCAAATTAACTAGTATTGCTTATTTTTTATTCTTTAAATTTTAGGGAAATTCACTTAATGAACAATTAAAAGTAACCTGCCTTTTGCTTCATTTTCATACTTGAAAAAAAAAAAAAAAAAACATTGAAAGAACGATAGGAGTACTATTAATAGAGAGTGTAACATATCTAAATTTTCGATGCTAAGAAATTATATTCAAGTAAAGCCTCCCAACTATTAAAAAAACAATAACAGAACCAGAACAATACTAGCAGATAATTGTTTATTGATAAAATTTAATCAGTGTTCTTTGTTGCCTGACAAAGTTTTAGAAACTGTTTTTAAATCCGAAGTTTTTTATGACGTGTTAAATTTTACTCTAAATCTAGAGATAGGTTTATGGCACTATAAAGTAGATCTTTTACCTATAGCAGTGCATGATTTAGGTTACTGAAAATGAAATGAAGTAATTTTTTAAAGGCTCAAGTTTTTTCCGATTCACAGTTTTTTCTTGATAATGTGTTTACAAAATGCTTAGTTTTATGTTTCTCATTATTTTTGTCAGAGAACAAATTATTTAATTGATTGGTTATGATATGTGTTCCAAAAATAATTCAATAAGTAAATGGAGATTAGCAATTCAATAAGTAAATTGAGCTTTTAGTTTTTTTGAGTCTTACTTCCGTTTTCAATGCCCAGATCCTTTGATGGTGAACATTATCTTCCAAATGGGTAAAATGTAGGGTTAATTCAAATTCACAGGAGAGATTTCATATATTGAAAACATTTAGTAACACAATTAAAGTTACAAACACATTTTTATTTTCATTTTTACAAAATACAGTATATAAAGCGAAAATTCTAAGGCACTACATTCAAATCAAAACTTAGAGTTCTCTACCACATTACAGTTACAGGTTTAGAGATGGGAGAATGTTCGAGATATTCTCCCCCTTTTGAGATTCTATATGCTTTTACTAAATGCTTAAACTTAGGCAACAAAATTTACTTTTTATTGCCTTCGAAAACATGAGCAATGCTTCTTTGATTGCATTATCAAGTTATTTAATGTAGTAATTACGCCATTGAGTAATAATGTTTACTAAGTTTATAAAATTTTAAATAATAGTGTAAATTAAATAAAATTAAAATTAAATTTTAATTTAAAATTTAAATTTTAAGCGAAATGTACTTTCGTTATTTTCATAATTCATATTTCCTAGTAACGTATTCTCATTTCACGACTAATTTTCAAACTACGCATTGTGAATTAAATTACCCAGAAAAATTATATAATGCAGTTTGCGCAGTTTGCACGTGCATGAAATGCTCCTTCGTTTCCAGATATAAAGACACCACAAAAAGGACTTAATTTTTTAGAATTTAGTTCAAACCAATTATATATGCAACAATATTATACTAGTAATACAGTAAATAAACACGAAAAATAAACATAATAATATTAACTGACTAAAGATAGAGCATTTACTCTTCACAATAACAGGTATGAGCGAATTTTAAAAAAATGCTATGTATAGACATAAGCATCAAAACAATAAATTCTTGCTAAGAATCCCTACTTCAATATGCGCTTAAAATACTTAATATTACATCTTATTAATTAGTTAATATAATTTATTTATTATAAAATAGGATATGGTTATTATAGCTCTATCTTTAGTCAGTTAATATTATTATTAACTGTAAATTATATCCTAATTAATAGACTGATAAAGCTAAATATTAAATTTTAAAGCAATTACGAATTCATAATAACTTTTTTTCAATCTTAGTTTTATGGTAAATATTCAATTAAATTCTTTATATTCTTTATATTTTATTATATCGAAATATTTCAGATATAGATATATTATATACCATAAATTTTCTCGTCAGTTTTAAATCTTAAGAAAAATAACAATTAATTCTGAGTATTAAAAATATTACACCAGCAATTTTCCTCAAAAATACGTTGTATAACCTGGATAAACGTACCTGGACAAAAGGTGTGCTTTAACATTGTTCCAATAGGAATTTAAGAACTTTCTAGAGTATATACACAAAGTACTTATTTTTAACATTTTATTCAGAGTTTTCTCTCACCTTTTATAGGCTCTTTGGCACATGAACAGTGAAATCGACTTCATAATTATAGTTTGCAATCTCTGATGCAAACTATGCATGATCTGAGATAAATGATAATCTGAAACAAAGAATAGAAATAATAATGGAACAAATTAATAAAAAGCACTAGTATAGCAAAAGGTGGTAATTAATTAAAGAAAGAGGAAAAGATTAAAATAAAACACGCAACTAAGATTTGTGGTATTATCAATATTGAGTATTATTTTCCTTTAACAGTATTGTATAAATGATAGTATTTTGAATAATATTTCTTTCTGCATTATAAGATTAGATTTTTTCTTTAAAAATGAGTAAAAACAAATTTTTCTTTACGCATTTATAAGATTTGATTTATAAAATTAACTTTTCGCTTTTAACAAGCAAGTTGTTTAGGTACAAAACTATTATAAATAATACAAGGTAATGCAAAAGACCTACGCATCAAAATTTAATTGCAGATTCGACAATGTATTTTAATTGCATATGGCTTCAATAGAAGACGCTCATCTGCTATTACAAGTAGTATATCACTTGAAATTTCAGTTGTAATTTATGCTGTTTTCTATAAAAACTGTTTGTTTAGTGCAACTGAAGATGAATTTTCCCCAAGTAGAATGAAGTTTCATGGTTGAGCATTGCAAAAAATTTTGTTGAAGTTTTTAAAAATGATTACCTCAGATGTCTTGAATCCAACAAGATAATGACTTTCTGCTTGGTAACCTGATATCGAGAAAATGGAAGCATTTAATCTAGGAAATGGAATGGCTACATGTCTCTTTTTTGCGGAAAAGGGCAAATCCAGAAATAGTACGTTGCAGTCACAAACAAAGAGTTGCTCAGTATAAAAATCTATTCTGTTCTGGAATAACTAACCTTCATCTTGCACCAAAGAAACAGTTTTTAAAATGAACATATAAACTGCAAATAAAATTTTTAGTGATGTATTATTTGTACACAACACGGGTGCAATCCGTGAATCAATTTTTCATTAATACTCGTATACATTAGGGAATTATCATAATTTTTAAATGTTTAATGGTTGCAACGTTTGCATCATGCATTATATAGTAGGATTACCAGATGAGTTCCACTTGGACATTTGAATCCACAGCTTTTTCTCTTGGTCATCTAAAAATATTAATACAGTATATTTTTGACATTGTTTATATTTGACATTGTTTATATTGTCCTGATATTTTTTACTTTCTTGTATTTTTTATATTCAATATGATGTTTTCTCCTCTAAAATCATTAGCATATAGTGCTAAGGACAACAGAGCTACTTTTAGTAAAAAATTGCTCTAACTTGTGTTAAAATGAATAAGGTTAATCTTAGTTAATAATGTTATTTGTAAAACATTCTAAAGGTTAACAATAGCACTAAAATATTAAAAGCCAATATCGACTCAGTCCCGAAACTTGGCAAAAAACTGCTTGCATGAAGTTGCTGTTTACCCCTTTTGTTTACATTTGTGTTTGCTTTCTTCAAATGCAATGTCAATGTGAGCTTATTTCCTTTAGAAAATTAATTCTTCTAAACTTGTAAAATTCCTTTGAACATCAAAAATCAGGAATTTCTTCATTAGTTATTTAAAATTTAATGTAGAAATAATTATAACATTAATTATTTTTGACAGTTTTCTATTCTAAATAGTATAATGTTACAATAATGCAATGAATATATCTGCACTTAAAAATAAGAGTTAAAAAGCTAGTTTGCTCATGTAACATGAAATTGGGAGGGGGATTAGTTTAAAATTAGTTATTAACATAAAACTCCCTAATGAATGCATTGCTCTTGTTAAGCAGGTAGCCTTTGCAGAATTTAATAAAGTGAGTATTATTGCACTACATAAAAATAAATACACTGTAGTTTTAATGCTGAAACTGATAGTATTTCTGCAGTTAATATAAAATGGTTAAGCTATTTTGAATATGGCAAAGGACCCTCGGGATATCTGCTTAAGAAGAAGAATGCTTTCATGAAAACAATTTTTAGCGAAATTGGCTTTTAACTATTTGTAATTAGTACATATATTAAACAAACTTAAAACTCTCATAGACTACCTGATAATGAACTAAAAGCAATTTAAATTTAAAAAAAAAAGAAAATCTGAAACGTTACAGATTTTAAATTACATCCAATGATTAAATATCATGTTATTCGCACTTAAACCAAAAAATTCAGTTCAAGAGCAATATCGCAAAATAATTTTGAGCATATCTTTAGAATTTCCGATACACAGTCTCCCGCGCTGGAGATAAAAATATGTTTTTCTGTACAACGTTGTCATTACTCTGTTTGAAATCCTTGAGTTTGTTAGCCAGAAATTCGTTAAGGCTTTAAAAAATATGAAATCAAAAATAAAACAAATTCCAAATTTCAAATTTGGGCTTCCAGATGCCCATATTCGCAGTAGGATTAAATCATTCAAAATTGGATGGCTGTAGGTACCGTTGTTTTATCACAAGGCGGGAACATATATACATTTATACAGATTCTTCATTATTTAATTTCTTCAAATATAATATAGGGCGATATTATTTGGTGGCAACAGTTTGAAAAGTGATACAGCCTTTTAAAGATTTCAACGCAAAACGCCAAACCGAAAACAATAGTCCTTCAGGGTTAAAGCCCCTTTGGACTAGAAAGATTTTGACCGTTTTCAAGTGTAGAGTTTATTTTGGGGAGACCATTAGGAAGTAAATACATGTAAGTATAATAAAAATTGTTTTTAAAAGTTACCGGATTTACCTGCGTAATATTTAGAGTTCTTAAAGCGTATAATTTTAAAAAATATGATTTACTGACGTAGTAGACCTATACGTACATTTAAAAGCGATTTATTCATATCCTAAATGTCTGTGGGTATTGACAGGCGTAGTTCCACAAGTCTATGTAGATAAATAATTGAGTGGAACTTACATTGAGTGGTACAGCATATCATAAACTGGGCAACTGACTTAACTACTCTTATTCATTTTAGCGAAGTGCCTCAAAAACAGAGAATGATAGTATAGTTTATTCTGTAAAATACTGAAAAGCGTGAACATTTCCATAGATGAAAAAATGAAATTGACACAATAATTAAAGACAGACACTTTAAAGATTCAGTCTACAGAATGTTTTTGTAAGAAAGGAGTTCTACCAGAGTAGTAATTTTTTTTAGCTTAAAACCCAAAGTTCCCGCAAAGTTGAAAGGTAATCTAATTGTCTTCTTTTCTCCATTTTTTAGCTATAAATTACAATACAATACTATAGGCTCTAAAGGCTAATGTATTTATCTCTGTACTCATTTTTACTGCTCGCGGTCGAAAATTTTAAGCATTTTGAAGTAAAGTGTTTGTTAACCCACATAACGTTTTCAAAAATGGAATCATCAGTTTAAGTGGCTCAAAATATTTTTCAACATTTTTGGAGTTATGACGTATGAGATGCTGTTAAATTGCAAATGAAAGACGTGCTGCAGCGAATTGTATCAAATCTACGAGAAAACAGTCTCGGAGTGAGCAAATCTGATTACATTTTGAAAGGAACAGAAAAATGTTTTAGGAAGGGCGAATTCAGAAAGCTGACTTTTTTTACTATGTTAAAACAGAAAAATATCAAACATTGACTGCAGATATTATTGTTGACTTAGGTAATACCATAGAATACAGAATAACAATCATTAATAATAATATAAAAATATAATTGAAGAGACTTCTATTGGTAAATTTATTCATATATTTTTGAATACATTATTCAATATCAAAATTGAAATATATTATTTAACAATTATTTAATATATTATTATTTCTCAAGTTTCAGACTGTGTAAACTGCTAACGAAAAAGAGAAATTACACATGTGAATATGGTGTTTCTTGAAATAAAAACTAATTTGAAATAAAAATATTATCGAATCTTACGTAAAGAGGGGTTAAGGAGCTATTACTAATTACTTCATTCATGGTTGGTTTCTAAATGATTTCAAATAAGTAAAACCAGTTACGATTTTAATAAGATAAAATTTATTTTGAAGGTTCTGAGAAACAAAAAAATTCATTAATATTTATGTCACATTTTTTAAAATATAAGCCCTCCATTTCAGAAGTAATTTCACGCTAAAGTATTTCGAACGATAATTTAAATATTACGTAATTAGATAACTCTCCCTCATCAATAGATTAGTTTTTGTGGAGAGTCTAGTTACTATAATGAAGAACCATGCACAGTTTCCATGTATGTGATAGAATATTAAGTTGAGATAAGTTGCTACAAAAGCACGAAATTTGACTGAATGTAATATTTAGTTGGGAATTATTTTATTTTAGGTTCAATTTCGGAAGTATTGAGGAAAGTCTTCGCACTTTTTTTAGCTGCGAACGTTACTGCGCCATTTACCTGCCCCAATGATGGCAGCACCTTCTACCATGCTGATGTCTCTACTGGCTGCAGAGTAAGTGTTGTTATTTTTAATAGCTGTCTGTTCTAATGATTGCTTTTATGTATTATTATTAATGATGCTAATATGTATTTCCTTTTAAACTTCTATGCGAACATTTAAGGAGAAATTACCTGAAAAGAATTCATATTCTATATTCTAATAATACTAGAAAGCAACATATTGAAACGATATGAACAATATGACCATTTATTATAATAAATACGCTTTAGTACTGCCGTAGTCTTTTAGATATTAGTCCAGAAGTTTGTTTCTTGCTAAAGTAATTAGGATATACCTGATGATATGCTATAAATTTTTTTAAAAAAATATTGCTCTTAGAGAGCGAATGGCAGTTATTTACTAAGGTGTCACTAACATATTGTTACGAATTTGGTATTTAAAAAGCTAATGTTAGTTCAATTATAAATTAAATGGTTTTATTTCTCGCGCAGTGCAGCGCGTGACGAATATTAAAAGAAAGCTAAGCCGGAAAAATTAAAAATACAAGAGCGCGTGCGTTAAATAAATAAATATCTCTTTTTGATTTCGAGAAAGTGCTGGAAAATTCTAGCGCGTGATTTTAAAATCTTATAAAAGGAGGAGGAGGAAAACATCTCAGTTTCGTAGTAGTTGCTTAGTTTGTTGTTGTTTAGAAAACTGCTGTTGTTGATTGTAGCGAATTCGCGGATTAGCGTTCTTTAGCTGTTTTGAATTACGTTCTATTGGACATTTGAGTAGTTAAAAGAAAACTACTGTGAGATATTGTAATACTGCATGATAATTTGAGAAAATTTAAGCATTTTTGTTGTGATAATAATAATTTTTGTTCATTTTTCATCGGACTTGTGCATTCATTTCATAACGAATCCGTACGCACGCAACGCAACAATTTTTGGTGTCAGAAGTGGGGTTTGAATGCCAATAACAAGAGCGATGGAAGAGCAGTTAAGGCAATTGATAACAGCCTTTGCCTCGTTAAAGAAGAATGAAAGAAGAGATGAAATCTAGCCAACGAAAGATGGAAGGGGCCGTCAACTCCGTTAAGGAAGAAATGAAATTGGGCCAGGAATCTGTTAAGGACGAAATGAAAGCCGTTCAAGCTGGTCAAGAAAAGATTGAAGCAGGTCAAGAAGAAATGAAAAGAGAGATTACCTGCATAATAGAAAATAAATTTGAAGCTATGGAAGGCAGAATTGACACAGTTGAAAATAAAGTTGGACAAATTGAAGAAAAAGTTTCTTCAACTGTGGGTTTTATATAGATCTGCTTTCATCCGTGTGGGTATTTGTCGCGTGGGCACACACAGTGGAGTTATTCTTATAGTGGGGTTAATTTTGTGTTAATTTTGTCGCGCGCGCTTTCGGTCCTTGGGCTTTTATAAATTTTCCCTTAAATTATTTTCATAATATTTATTATTAGCTCAAAGGAGCTTTAGCTCAGAAGGTCTATTAGTCTCAGAAAAGGATTTTGCGTTGAATCACTGTAAAAGTCTGGATCACTTTTCAAATTGTTGCCACCAAATATTCCCTGCATCAAATTTAAAGAAATTAAGTAATGAAGAACTTGCATGAATGTATGCTTCGTATTGTAAAAAAAGGGAATCTAAAGCCATCAAATTTTGAATAGCGTAGTCTTCCATATCAAATTTTGAATAACTTAGACCTCGACCAGAATATGGGCACATGGAAGACCGATTTTTTAATTTCGAATATGTTTTATTGCTTATTTCGTATTTTATAAAACTTTAACGAATTTTTGATTAACAAACTCAATGATTTCAAAGCGAGCAATAACAACACTCTATAGGAAAAATATTTTTATCCCCAGCGCGCGATACTGTCTATCGGATATTCTAAAGATATGCTGCTGATAAATATTTATTGTGTATTTCAAATTTTGAAAAACTTTATTAAATTTTTGATTAACAAACTCAACGATTTCAAAGCGAGCAATGTCAACATTTTTTGGGAAAATAATTATCTCCAGCACGTGGACTAGAAAATTCTAAAGGTAATCTGTTTTTAAACATTTTTAGTCCAAGGGAACATTAGTCCAAATGCCTTCGAAACGTGTATGTATATGCAAATAAAAAAAAAAAAAAAAAACTCCCCTTTGGACGCAATATAAAATCTGAAAGCTTTCAGATTCTTTCTCGTAACATCATACATAAAACGAAATTTACCTCTGAAACATGAAGATGAGAAAAACGTTAAATATAAAATTTGGAACTTGAGCATTTACAAATAGTAACTTGAAACTAATGGCACTTTGTCTGTAATTTAAAAGATACCTTAGAAATACGCATTCGAAAACTCAACTTGTCTAGTTATGGCAATATTTATATACATATACACAAAATAGGGTTTACTTAGATTACCGTTATTCTGATAATATGGAGACGAAATTTTTTGTTTGTTTGTTGGAACAATTCCTGTAGATATGAGCGTCACCTTGATGTTCATTTCTTTTTCTGGGTTTGTGCAAAATTTTAAATTTCCTTTGCTTTTGTAGAAACTTATGTGATCACAGTTTGAATTACGACACTGTTTAATTTAATATTCCTCTAATCTGAAAATACTAATTAAACCTTCGAAAATATTTAATATTGCAATATATTTCAAGCATCGTCCACAGTAATTACTCTCGGCTGTTAAATTTGATTCTACCGTAAAGTTATTATTGCAAGATTTTCATTTTTCTTGAAACACGTATATCTACTTTCCAAGATTTAAAAAATGTTCAATTTATCAGAAATTTGCAGTTCAATTAAGAATACACATGCAAATAAATTAAGGCGAAATTTCGTGTCCTTGATAAAAACCTACTGGACAAAAGCGCACACGACGAAAGCCCACGTAACTCCACTGTAAGTTTTCGTGGATCTCAATAGACATATGTCGCTTCAGAAAGTTCTGCGAGAATAAAACCTAAGCTTTCGAACTATTTGATATTTAAGAAAAAATTAAAAGCAAGATATTAAATAAAAGTGAAGGAATTACTATTTAAGGACTTAGGATGAAAAAAAATTATATGAGTAACTATAAAGTATTTTTCTTTGCCAAGCAGACAGGTAAAATTTGAGAAAAATTCCAGTATTTTTTAACTGGTTTGCTCTAAATTTTGATGCAACTTCTTATGGATAATTTTAGATTCATCTAAAACTAACCCTAATTTTTAATATATTACAGACCAAAATGAGCTATACTTTATGATACAGTAGTAGTATCTATATTTAGTATATTTTATCTAGTATTTAGTAGATCTTCTGCATATTATAATTATGAGTGTCTCTTTTACATTTAATTTTGGATGAGTGAATTTATGTAGAATTTCCGTTTGCTTTGCAATCTCTTCCATGCTTTTAAATACTCAGTTTGTTAAATAAATAATAAAAATAAGTAGAAGTAATATAAAAAATAACTATATAGGATTTTTGTTTCTTCCTCTTAATTATGCTTGAGTTTTTTATAATTTAAGAAGGTTCCAAATGAAAATTGAATTACCACAATATTCTTTTTTGCATATATAATGAAGTAAAAATGAAACATCAAAACAGTTTTCGAAATTGCTCTCTCTAGTAAAACTTCAAATGAAATGTAGTATCAAGTACACATCATTTGCTATGCGAGAAAAAGAAAATACTGGCTTGCAAACTGTATTAAGCATTCGAGAAATCATTCCAAATAAGTCTTAGTTAAATTTAATTTTCCATATTTCTATTATATTCATGATTCTAAGAGCAATTTAAGTTCCAGAGAAAATACTATTCGTTTTTCTATAACGCATCCCATTTTGAAAAACGCGAACCTCAGTAGACTATGTAGAAAACATCTGTTTAAATATACTACATTTTTGAGGAAGTAACTGCACATTTACGAGTGGATGAGTGAATTTTTGTACTAATACTTTTGTTTATATTTTCAGAAAATGTGACTATACTGTATTTCTGCACAAATTGAAATAGATATTTTAAAGTTGTATTTTACTGTTTTCAGGTATATCATCTGTGCCAGTCTTCTGAACTTCAGACATTTACGTGCCCTGATGGAAAAGCTTTCAACTACAATATATCTGGTTGCGAAGATGCATCTACGTTTCACTGCGCAGAAAATGTAGAACACCATATCCACAAACGTTCCGTTGAATTAGTTCATACCATTTCTCTAGAAGCTGCAAAGAATTCTTTCTTAAATTTGATAAAGTCTGTTCAACCATTAGTAAATCAAGCCATTAAGAATGCTGCTCCAACAGTTTATGATAAGATTCAGTCATATTACATGCCCACACTTCAAGCCATAAGAGATGATGTTTTACCAATTGTTAGAGAAAAGCTTCTACCTCATGTTAAAAAAACTTTAAACTATTCTAGCAAATTAAGCACTAGACTGTTGGAGAAAGCTTACCGATCTTATGAATTGTCAAATTCCACACACATCAACATTGTATCATTCTCCGATGTAGTCCGTGATCTTTCTAATGACATTCAACCTGTGCTGAAACTTAGCAAATACATGTCAGAAAGATTGTTTCAGAACAAAAGACTTAAACGCAGCATTGACGAAGAAGTCCATACCATTTCCCTTGAAGCTGTAAAGAATTCATTCTTAAATTTTGCTAAATCTGTTCGACCATTAGTGAGAGAAGCCATTAAAGATGCTGCTCCGACGGTTTATGATAAGCTTCAGTCTTATTATATGCCCACAATCCGAGCCATAAGAGATGATGTTTTACCGATAGTTAAAGAAACGCTTGTTCCCCATTTTGATAAAACTTTCAACTACGCTAAAAAATTAAGCACCAGACTAATCAAGAAGGCTTACCGGTCTTATGAACTCTCTAACTCTACTCATATCAATATTGTATCATTTTCTGATATAGCACGTGATGTTTCCAACGACCTTCAACCGATACTGAAACTTGGCAAATATATGTCAGAGAGATTATTCCAGAGCAAACGATTTAGGCGCAGCATTGATAATGAAGAGGAAATGGGATTTATTAGGGAGAAGAGGCAGATTCCTGAATCATTGTCTGGTTACATAGAACCTCTCTTTAGGAGTATTTTAACCGGTATTAAGGATATATTTATGGGAACCCAGAATACTTTCACGAGTAAGATAATCCTTCCAATCGTCTTCGACATGGCTGAAAATCCTGAGACTGTGTTTGATCTAAGAAGGCTATTCTGGTCTATTAAAGCTGCAGTTGCACCTCTTGTTTCAGAGATTCTGAGTCTACAAGATTTTAATACTCCGGAAGGAACCGTAATTCGAATTCCTCAGGCTTCAATAGATGCTGCTAGAAATAGACTAATCACCGAAACAAAGCCAATTGTACGCAGAATCGCTGAAAGGCATCTTCGTAAGATTCTCCTGACAGCAGCTGATAATGTTCCACTCATTATGGAAACCCTTCACCGATTACAGATTTCTTATGACCTCAGAGATGGAGAATTAGGTAAGAGTATTTTGGATTTCATCACCAAGCATGGGTCATTGCTGAGAACCTCTAGTTCAGCGTATGTGAATAGTTATACTTTAGCAGAAATTAAGAAGGATTTATGGCCCATCAAAGTAAATCTCTTCAATATGCTCGTTGACTATCATACACGTACCCCTAATTCTTGGTTTGGAAATCTTTTCAATACAAGCCTTCAGTCACCCATTCCTTCAGCTGGAAGCAGGGTGTCATACGCAAAACCTGCTCAGAGCACGTATAAGCGACCATTTCAGTCTTTTAGACGCAATATAGTTTCTTAGTTGAAACAGTCGGATTAAATGTGAAAACATTTGAATCACTTTGATGTAACAACAGACTTTTAAATTGAGTGATGTATCTCAAATGTTTGTGAATAATAAAATTCAATGGAATAACTATTTGTTTGTGATGTCTAAGAAACTAATTACTTTATTTTCATTCATTCTGTAATTAAAAAAAATAGCATTGCATTAGTAAAAGAACTATCAAATTCACATCTTAACTCTCTGTATATCAGTCTTTTGCAGATGTTTCATGATTACATGAACCTCATTATCTTCGTTTCGTAGTACAGGACGAATTTTATATAATAAAGTTGTTTAATATCTCTATCTCTCTAAATCGAATGTAATATGGCTTTATATGGCGGAAAAGCTACGAAAGAAAGTATATTGAAATGTCGTTACGTTTGGTAAAATATAGTCTTAGACATACGTTACTTTAGTTAAATTATTTAAAATTAATTAAAGATTTCTTCGCAAATTTTATTATTTAAAATCAATAAATCTTTCTGACGAAAATCAGGTAAAAGTTGGAAATATAAAATTAAGCTGATGTTTCAACGGTATAGGATTTTTTATTAAGCTAAATATACTTAGAGATGTATTAAAGATTAATGAAACATTGCGGAACTTCAGAATGTTTTAAGCAGGTATTTTTATAATGATAATAATACTTAAAAAATTTTAAAATGTGTTCCATAGATGGATGGTACAGGAATTCAAAAATATGGTGATGTAATACTAGTGTAATAATTCTGACCTGCTCCGCTACTACAAAATAGGGAAGGTCATCAATCTTGTATTAAGTTAAGAGGACACTTAAATAAGAAATCTACTAGAAAGGAGGTGCATATCCTTTTCTGTATATTCTAAAACATCTGGATCCTTATAACAATAGGAAGCTATAATATATGATAGTGGTAATGTTTAAGATAAGAAGATTTATTTTGCGCAGCCTGAAATCTAAGACGCTTCTGGCCTGTTTGGACACAAAATTCAGTATTATTTGTTCATTCCAGTTTTGTCCACTTTCAAAGTTATTATAATCTTTAAACGTCAGAGATTACTTATTTTTATTTTACTCCTCTCATAAATACAGATAATGCCAAATCATGTTTAAAACAAAATTCCTCATGTTAATCACCTAGTTTAATGTATTAGATTAAATGACATATCTAATAACATATAGCACTTCTAATATATCGAGCTGTGTTTAGTTTGCTATATCTCATATATTTTGGAAGCAGATTTAAGTATAGAAACTGCAGCTAAGTAAAAATGCACAATTTTTTTTTTTTTTTTTTTTTTTTTACGTTAACAAATTTACCTTAAACTTCGCGTTGTACCGACAGTACAATGCGATTTCAGATATTCTATTTCCATTATAAACATAAGGAAACACTATTATTTTGCCGTGAAAAATTTTATTTTTGGAGTTCTTAAATATAAATACTGTTTGAAGTCTTTTTTGATTGTTTGTTTGTGGAAGATATGGATAATAGCGTTGTTTTATATCAAATTTATTGTAGCTTTTAAAGTAATAAATTCTGCAACTTAAATATTTGTTTACATGCTTCTAATATATAAACACACTTAAGTTAAAGATACGATTATTAGTTTGCTATGTTGCGGATTATTGAAATCAGTCTTAAGTTTAAATGATTCCCTTTTGAATGTTTACAAAAATTTTCCTCATAATTACTGTAACTCTATTTATGCATTCAAACCTTTAATGTTTTATTTATAAACCCTTAAAGACAAGCTTTCTATTTCTTAAATCAGGCTGACTTTGAAATTGCTGTGTACCAAAAGTTATTATTTAAAATTATTATATTTTTTAAAATTTAACAGAAATCAGTTTATCTTTAGATAAAAGCAAGGCAATTTAAAATTCATGAATGGATCCCATTCACAAACATGCAATGTAAGTTAAATTTTAACAAAGAAAGCTTATATCTTTAAACAAGCAGAAAAAAATTATATGAAATGAAAGCAAAGGAAGAAATAATTATATCGAACAAAGAAATAAATTATATCATGATTTAAAAATCAAATAGGGGAATGGAACATTATTTAATCTACTCTTTTGCCATTCAATGGCAAATGAAAATGCCATTCATTTGCCATGAAAGACTTTACTTTTGAAATTCTTATGATAAAGCCTTTGAATGTTTAACTGTTTGTAAAATGTATTATTAATAGCTTGTGTAATTTCAAATTAAATTTTGCTACTTAAGAATTACTGCATACATCCTTGTAATATAAAAACCCAGCTGAATTAAAAACAGGATTAAGTTTATTTATGTTGTGCATTATTGAAATCAGTCTTTGTATTTGACTGACTTCCTTATTACAGATTTATAACAAATTTTCCTGACAGTTACTGCTATTTTTTCATTTAAAGATATTTTTGTTAGTTTATTTTTAACTCAGATAAAATTTCTGTTCCTCAGATCAGATACACTTTCAAAGTCCTGCGTAATAAAAAGTCTTACAACAGCACATTGATGTTGGTATTACACAGATAAGATAACCAAAATTGTACTTCCCTAACAGAATTTTCTCCACATTTAGAGAAGATGAAACAATACTTTTAATTTATAAATTCATATCACACTGATATAATGCGTCAAGAATAAATTAAAGAACTGAATTACAATTACGAAAGATGAAATTATTTGTAATCGAGTGTTCTCTAGGTTTTTATTGTTGTTCCATTCCGATTGCACTAAGAACACGTACGCTGGAAAATAAATATCTTATTAAATTACTCATGCAAACATAAGTATACATAAATATACACGTGAAAAAGAAGGTTTTATAGAAAATGTATTCTTTTACATAGCAGGAAATCATACTTTTATTATAAAACTATCTCAAATTTACAACCAAGTTGAATTATTGAATCACAAAAGAAGTTAATATTACTAATTAAAGTCAAAGGTTTTTTTTTTTTTATGCTCGCTGAATAAAGCTTTTCTCAGAAAGAAGTTCGAGGGGATCATGCTTCCATTTTTCACTAAATGGGGAGGAAGCACCTAATAGAAGACCACTCTTGCTTACAATGAAGGGACGGACAGTTAAAACCATGCCTTCCTGGGATTCGACCCGAGCCATCGCTATGGTAGTCAGAAGAGTCACTAACCTCTATATCGGTTGGGTGCCTTAATACAGAGCATTAACACGGGAATACCTGAGGATTAACGCAGAAAATTAGAAGATAATGTTTCCTCTTTGTTTGTAATCTTCACCTCTGGTAAGAAATTGTCACTTCAACAATCACAAAATGTATACATCTATTTAAGCTTACAGCTCGTGATTCTCAGAGAGGATCCAATCACCGAACATTAGAAGTTCATCTAAGGTACGATTTTTAGAGGCAGGCATTCTTCATGCATAATAAATGCTGGCTTTTTCTTAAGGAACCTTCGAAGAAGGAAAGAAGCCCTGGTGTGCGATGAAGTAATTAATGAATAATCTGTTTGATTCTAATAAAAATATATTTAATTTAATATGCTACAACTAAATGAAAATTATCGAAAGGATTTCTCGTTAACACATTTCTCGTAAGTCAACAACAAAGTTTCAAAGAGCTTTTACTCCTAAATATAGGTATATCTTATGTCCTTAAATCTATGTTTAATGTTATTTTGTTCCATTTATCACATTAATTGATACTTCATCAAGTCTTTAAATTTACAGTTTTACTGATATTCTTGTTAAGAAATTTAATTCACTTTTACTTCAACACAGTATGAAACAAAAAACATATGTACCTAAATATTGTCTTCAATCAGAGAACTGACTAATTGCATAACACTTTAAATAAATTTGTCCCTTCTGATCAGTTTTATACCAAAATTCATTACTGAACGTTTTATAACATTTACGTTATTTTTTTCAGACATACAGTTAAATTGATTTTCATAGAATTTACAAATAATGTAAAAATAGAAATTACGCAAAATGCAAAATAGGAGTAATGCAAAAATAGTACCGGAGCCTAATATCTTTTCCTTTAGTAGTAACACGAGAGAGAAAAGATCTGGCTGCTGCATTTTTTTAAATTTAATATATTAATCGACCTCTATCTGTATAATTTTAATCAAATTTTCGTTCTTTTTCCATACAAAATGAATACAAAAAGTGTGACTTACCTTTAAAATAATCCTTTCTGGAGAAGTAGGATTACACAAAGGATTTATGTTTTTCCACGCAGATAATTACAAATCACTGAGATATTGTAATCTTCTCTGAATCAGCTAATTAATATTAAAAGAATAGCTCAAAATTTTATTGATATATCATGTTCAAATATTGGAAGTCTTCTGTGTCAACCGAAACATAATTTGTATGCACTTTTATTCTTAGTATAAATACAAAAGAATATTAACTCCATAAAGCCTTTAAATTCAGCAATATTTAAAAAATTTAAATAACAATAATAATAAATAAGAGAAAAACTTCCTTCACGGATTACTTCAATAATATTTCCTAATCACAAAAATGTTTATTATTTAGCCTAAACACAAACAGAGCTTATATCTTTGAAAAAAATGCATTAGAAACTGAATGATGTAATTTATAAAACTGGAAGAACGGCCAATAATGTATATACCTCGAAATTTTATTTCAAAGCTTCAAGATTTAAATAAATAGTCCTAAACTACTGACAGTATTGTATTTACTACTTTCGGGTAATATAGTACTTTGCTTTGGTTTAAACTCATCACTTTACTTTGTAGAATCATTAGGCTATTTTGATGCTGTAGACGTGAGAAATGAGCACTGCTCTAACCGGGACACGAAAACTAGACCTCTCGAATACGCGCCGAGTTTGCTACCGTTACACCACTAAGGCATGCAGAAAGGACGGAGAAAAGGCCTTATGTACTCCCCCTTTTTAAAGGATGACTGGTTATTAGGAGACCCATTCGCCAAATTCTAGTGGTGATGAATCATCATCCACGACTTTATTTAGTTTGTGCTCCACTGTTGGGTCATTAGGAATTTTTTGAAAGCAGAAGACGTGAAAAATGAGACTCGAACTTGGACCTCTCGTATATGCGCTGAGTGTGCTAAACATTACACCCCGAAGGCATGCAGAAAGGCGGGAG